ACAGTGTCAGTGCTTTAAAAACTTGTTTGTAAAAGAGCAAAGGGAAAAAAAACCTACTAGAAAGCTCAAAAGTTTTGCAAATGACCCAGAGTTAATTAGAAAAGTCTGCACCCTGGCTAGTTCCCCTTCTCACGTGTCAGCTCTCATTAAATCAAAAAATTCTCATTTCAAAGTTAACAAACACCATGGTTAACAAAACTGTTAAACTGGGATCAAGTGGGCACATTCCTAGGTTTATATATGATGTCATGCTAAGCAGCCCACAGCTGAACTTGCAAGTAGTATGAATGATTTTTCAATATATTAAGTATCTGATCTAATGCTAATTTTCTCTCTATAGGCTAACTGTGCTGGGAACAGGTGGCCCTGCTTTCAATTACGGAGGGCTAACATGCCAGTGTGAGGCCTGGATTAGTTCACCTTCTCACAGGGAATTTGCCTCGGTTGGGAATGGATTTATTATGGCTTCACACATGGAACAGAGCTCATGTCAGCTGAGGGCAGTGATACATCATATGATTCAAATTAACCTGCTGTGGACTGTTCCGCAGGGCTGATATTGTGTATTAAAATGACGACATTTTTAAAACAGCTTGAAAGAAACCAGGATTGCTGAAGTGCAATGGTTCCAATTTGTTCCAACTAATCTATCACCTGCTGGAGATATTATTCTAGTGGGTTTCTGGTAGCTGCTATTTTCCAGGTTTCTCCAAACCACTGACCTTGCTAATGGATACAATTGTTGCCTTTGCAAACAGGGAGAAAAAAGCTGGAGAAAGTGTCATGGTGCAGTTTTGTTTGTTGCTTTTTATGCACAACCCCAGACCCAGTGCTGGGCCCCTTGTGGTGTCCAAACAGTGCCAGGGAGGGACTGGCAGGAAAGAGCAATCCCCCAGGTCCCCCAGTTCTCACTTCATCTTTCAGCGGGACATGGTATTTCTTAGTTTGTCTGGATAGTTTCTTCTGTAGAAATTATTTTGAAAGGCGAAGTATCAAGGACCACAGTTAATTCACACCTTGCCTAACGTCTTCCCAAGAAACTGCTGGGGGGAAGAGGACGTTGGCATAAACCACCTATATTTTGCATGTATAAGTTTTTTAAGGCAATTTGTATGAAGCTGTACTTCATAAATATGTTTTGTATCATTTGCATGCAGAGAGAATACATCAAAAAGGCAGCTTTTATAGCTAAGCATAGTTGATTTAAAGAAAAAAAAAAAAAAACAAAGAAGGACTTCTAGTCCTTCTAGTAAAGAGAATAAATTTTCAAAAACTATTAAAACAAGATGGTCATATTTGTTCCTCACCTAATGAATAATACCTAATGCTGAAGCAATAAATAGTTCACTTACATGTATTAGACAAGAATTAGATGTACAATCCAGTAACAGACTGAATATGAGAGGGTCATGTAAACTGATGTAGATGGAATTCAAAAAATTAATAATAATTAGTTACTGTAGAAAGAGAAAGAATAGTCCTTTAATACATTGTGGGGTTAAAGTTGAGGTCTGTTCCCACAGGCCTGATGATGAATGCTTATTTCTCCTAGGATCCTATTACCTTAAATCTGGAAGAAATATCATTTTTCTTTAGTTGCCAAAAATGTACAAAATAATCAACTCATGTCGCAAGAAGTGCATTAATGTATCCTGTTATTCTCATTTAATTAGTGGTTTCCAAGTTTAGCTACTTGCTGTAGTTTTTTGATCTCCGAGCTAATATGGACTGACAACCTGGTTTCCTGTGTGGTGAAACCATACGATTTTTCTATGGAACACTATCTACTTATCTACTTCAGCTGACAAACTATTTACAACGAGTACCGGTTTTATCTAACAGCAAACACTGGGAACCACTTGCAGATTTTTTCTTTTAACTGCTTGCATAGTAGTTTGCATCACAAAACATAGGCATGTTTGATTGTTACAGTTGGCATTTAACCTCAGCACACCAACAAGCATTTTGTAAGAAAAATGACATTACAATTAAGCCACTGAACTTTGAACACTTAAAATCTATACAGGAAACTGTATGGTTATCCCAAAGGCTACATCCAGATTTTTGTCTGCATAGGCACAGCTTTTAAAAATGTGCTGACTTTTCAGAACGGCAGGTCAGCTGTACCCAACAGGTAGCACCTACTACTGCATCCAATGCACTTTAGTAGTTTACTTACTGCAGTTATAAACCACATATACATAAAGGAATATGAAAACACGCAGCGTGTCCTTAGAAAATATGCCAGTTAGTAGCAGCATTATTTGCCAAATGTTCGCCAAAAAGAGTAGGCCTTTGAGGCCCGCAACGTAAGCATACTCCAGCAGTGCATTTATTTATTCAATTTATTAACTGTGATGTCTCCCACCACAAATAACGTTTGTCTGGTGACCTTACAAGAGCTCTCAGGAGTTTTGCTGAGGTTCTTGTCCTCAGTGAACAACTGCCAGCTTAGTTAGGATCTGGTGATGTAGACACTTTCTCCAGGCCTGCTGACGGCCAAGCTACCTCAGCCTGGAAGAAGTTGTGGTTAGAGGACTTCTTTCCCCCCAGGAGAGTTAGTAACTTATTTTCCAGTAGCCTGCTGAGGAGCTGTCAAGCTTTCATAACTCTTTGCATGTGCGGTTCTGACGCAATCACATGCGGAAAGCACCTTCCATTACTCATCCAGCGAAACCTTCAGCCCCCAGGGAAGGCTTCTTGGTAAAGGTTAGTTTATTTGAAGAAGATCTCATAGCGGCAACAGCTGAGACTAAAAAAGTCTGCGAAGGAATGCAGAGCTGTTTTGTTATATTACACCAGCAAAACACTTCATTAAAATTCAAAGTAATTACTGTTGAGTCATGTGTAATGATAGTTCCATTTAGCAGCAAAAAGATGATAAAGAAATGCCTTTGGGCTAAGAAGAGATCCTGGAGGAAATCTCTGAAGTTTTATACGCTTTGCGAGAATAAACAGACCGAAGTTTATGATGCATTAATTTATGTTTTTTCAGTTCTCTATTTAGCCATATACCATGGAGGGGAGAGATTTAACACTGATTTGAGATCTGACTGAATTGTTGAGAATGGGGTAGACACTTCAACTACTTGTGAATATATACCTTGCAAGCTGGTACCGACTTCTGTGTTTGCTAGCTTAGAAGTCTGTCCTACTGACAGGAGAGCATCAAGGAAACACCTTCAGCTGTGTAATAAATTAAATATAAAGGCTGTGCCAGGAAACTACAGCAAGAACCTTGAGAAAAGGGGAATGCATAGATGAAGGGTCTGGGAATATGGGAATCTTCCAGATGTGGGGAGACAGGACACAAA